CGCCCGCCTCACCTCCAGGGGCCGTAGGCCCCCATTGCGGGCCCGTTGTACGTGTTCAAACAAGAGGGCCAGCTCTCTGCAGGAGAGGGCGCCATCAGCTACAGACAGGGCTTTGGGGACACCACCCACCTCACCCAGTGGGCCCAGAGCTACTGAGCTCAGATCCTGCCAAGTCTTGAGCCATCCTCTAAGGGTACTCACAAATATCCCAGGCCAGAACAGGCAGGGTGGAGAGACTAGCTTCCTCCCCCTCTGCAGAAGTTTCTGGGAAATCGGAAGGAATCTAGGTATGGTTGTGCAGGTTGGGCACAACTCCAAAGCACCCACACGAAGAGGGAGCTCAGATCTAGCTGACTCTGCTCTTCATCACAGAACTGTGCCTACCAAGCAGCCATCAGCAGCTTTGAAATCCTTAGTCTCCCAGCCTGACTTGGATTTTAGGAGGAGACTGGAGCTGAAGATAGATTTAATAGGGCGGCCAGCCCAGCTTCCCTGCCCGGTGCTGTTCCTCTTACCACGGAGTTCCTGGGAATGGGATCGGGTGGGCTATCCACTAATTCTCCTGATAATTTCCTATTGCCATAACCAGGCATGTAGCCACCCCACACCCACCTTTCCAACGGAGCCCAAATTTCCAGACCAGACTCTGTTCCTCTTACCAGGAAACCCAGGCTATCCCATCCAGAGTTTCCCCCACTTCCACGGCAATTTCTATGCATCCAGTCCTGCACCCTCTCTTGCTTGGCCTTGATCCCTTCAAATATTCCCCCTTCTCCCAAAGGGGGCTGCTTCGAATCCAGCCTCCAGCTCTGCCTCTGAGGTAGGAGCTTGCCTTCACCAAATGTGGAGATGGGGAGAGGGAAGAGTGATTTGGGGAACCCCCTTTCCAGCCCCTATCTCCTGCTCCTCCCCTGGGAAGCCCATGGGACAGGGAGGGAGCAAGAGGGGCCAGGTGCTGGTGCGGGCGCGGGCAAGTGGGATCACGCAACAGCTGCTCGAGGATAACTAATGAGGCAAAGACGGTGGAGAGAAGCGCTGAGCACAGCAGTCCGGACTAGCACGCACTCCATGCCATCCTGCCCGTGGGACTGAGCCAACCAAGCCGGCTCTGCAGTCTTCATTCCTGCCCCAGGGCCTGGCCAGGCACCTGGCTCCACGCACCTTGATGATGCTATTAATAACCCCGGCACAGAGCCGCCCCACTGAGCCTGAGCCCAACCTGGGCCTCAAGAGGTTGCTGCCCAGAAAGTAACAGGGGCCACACAGTCATACACAGGGGCTCTGGGGCAGGCAGATATGTTTCTGCCATAGCATCCTCTCTAACCAGTGATACATAGATTGGTACAAGCTAATGTGCCCCCCACTCAGGAATGAGGGGAGATGAGCTGGCTGTCACTTCCCTAGGTGGCATCACCTATTGTTGAGTATGCAGACTCCAGGCATTCCATGTGTGGGGCTCAGTCAGCTTCAGGGCAAAGCTGCACCAATACCCTGAGCCCAATGGACACAGAAGAGTTAGGGAGAGGACCAACCAGGCTCCAAGTTATGCAGGACCTGAATGCCAGTCCCAGATGCTCTGTTGGGAGCAATCTCCTCTCTCAACTCTGAGGGCATCTTCTCAAGGGGCATTAATGCCAGCTCCTACCCGCTCCCCTCCCAGCAGCACCTACCTGAAAGATGGGAGAATACTGTCATAGTAGTACCAGGTGGCTGTCAAGTAGGCTCGGCTTGTGTCTGTGGAGTACAGGCGCCATGCAGCCTGGAGGCATGGGGAGAATGGGGTGTCACAGAAACCCTTTGCCCCTGAGGGAACCTAGTCCCAGGCCAGCTGAGAGTGGTGCCAGGACCAGAGGCCAAGTCTAATTCCATAGCCACCAGCAAGGCCAGCCAAGGAACCAAGACCTAGAAATGACTTCCTCAAGGTGACCCAGTATATCAGCACCCGAGCCAGGGGCCTACAAACACTGGGTAAGAGCTGGGGGTCTGTGGTCAGGCAGGCATAGGCTTCTAATCCATTCTTCCATATATAACAGAGTTGGGGTTGTTGGCCTAACAGTGTCATGAGGATGAAATGGACAGGTGTCTATCCGATGCCAAACTCAGTGCCTGGCACACTCATGGCCAGGGTCCTGTAAGCCATCCCTTAGCTAAGTACACATTCACAGTGTCTGGTTAGTGTCTTTCTTCATAAGCTGCAACTTGGGCACCACTGTATCGTCAGTGCCAAGTACAGTATCTGGCGCATGCAGGTGGTTCTGCAAATGTTTGGGCAGGGAATGTTGACTAAGTGAATGGCTTTACAAACAACGACTCCACTGTATTTTTGTTGGCTGCTACCATGGGACCACTAGAGCCTGAGGGAGAGCAGGGAAGATTATTGACCACAAACTCTTCAACAATCACAGACTGTGAAGCAGAAGGAACTATGATCTGATGGGGGAAAACCCATCTCTCTCCATCCAGGTAGAAAGAATCTGGGAAGGACTGAATGGAATGACCCACCAGGGCAGGGCAATATGGAGATTGTTAGACAGGGCAAAGCAGAATTGGGGCAGCCCCGGATGCCTCCCCTCCTTCGGGTGCCTCTTGCCCTTAAGGGGTTGCCATGAGTGACCTCACCAGCCTGGCGCCTTCCTAAGACAGAAATATTTTTACTTCCTGCTTGCCTGGGTCCCTGGCATGGGCTGGGGAGCAGCTGCCAGAGCTCTCATTAATTATAGGTACCACAATACCAGCTGTCTCTCAGCAGGGACAGTGCCAGCTGCCTGCCCCTACAATGCCCCTCGGGAGGCCAGCTCCCAGAGGACAGTGGCCATTGTGCCCAAGGGACGCTAAGAAGAAAAGGCTGGGCTGGTAGTCGGAGATAGCAGGGAGAGAAAAGGGGTTCTACCCTGGGAAGGAGAGATAAGGAGGGGCCGAGTCAGGCTTGGGTTTGGGGGTCAGAGAGTGGTGGGCTGGGGAGCAGACAGAGGTGTGCTGTGTCAGGATTCCTCACCTATTTCCTACGGGGAGTTCTCCTGCACGCCCCTACTCTGGAGAGAGGCCAAGGCAGTGAGAGGCTCACAGATCAGAGCTCACTCACATCTTGTCCACCACACTGAGGGAAGCTGAGATCATGGGCCCCTGGCTTCCTACACCTGCACCCATCTCTAGCCACTTGCCCTCTATTTCCTTGGCTGGCTCCCTGCTCACCTGCCCATTAAATGCTAGTAATTCGAAAAGTCCAACTTTGGACCATTTTCTTATTGTATGACTTCCTGAGGATGCAGTGCCAGGAGTGGAGCAAGCTGACAGACAACTACCCAGTTTCAAGATGGCAGAGTTAGGTCTCCCCACCAGGAGATGGGGGCCTCTTATCCAGGCTCTCCCTATCCCAGGTCATGACCACAGTTGGCAACAGGGTGGCTCTAGGGAGTTTGAAACCAGCTTTCTGCTGCAGGGGAACATTACTGGTAATGCTGGTCAGCACTCCAGCTCAGTATATAATGTGACATGTGACTCTCCCACCCCCACCACGGAAGTTTGAATGTAATTGGCCCCCATAATCTCCTAGGGAGTGGCACTATTAGGAGGTGTGGCTTTGTTGTAGTGGGTATGGCCTTGTTAGAGGAAGTGTGTCACTGTGGGGGAGGGCTTTGAGGTTTCCTATGCTCAGGATACCACCCAGTGACTCAGTCAACTTCCTGTTGCCTGTAAGATGGAGGAATCTCAGTACTGTCTGTCTGCATGCCACCATGCTCCTGTCATGATGACAATGGACTGAGCCTCTGAAACTGTAAGCGAGTCACCCCAATTAAATGGTTTTTCCTTTATGAGAGTTGTCATGGTTGTGCTGTCTCTTCACAGCAATAAAAACCCTGACTAAGACACTCCCCAAAAGACACGTCCCTCTCTGAGGTCTGAAGTAGCACTGTAGTTTTTAAGTTGGGATACATGGATCAGCACACAGGGCTGTGTAAGCATTGTGTACCTGGATGAGGTTGGCTGCTGGCATCCTGCGCTTCTCAAAGTGCTTCTGCCTATGCTGCTCCTGGACCTTCAAGGCGAAGCCAGAGCCCAGGATGCCCTATGGGGAGAGGGCATTGTTGCAGGTTGTGTAGGAAGGACAAGAGGCTGCTAAAATGTCCCATCTGCAGCACCACAGGTTGCCCAAGGCAAATTGAGGATAGGCAGGTTAGGTCTTGGCCCCAGCCTCCCTCACCAACCAGCAGAGAACTCACAGCAGGTAAGGCAAAGAAGGAGATGCCCAGTAAGGCGAAGCCGGCAGCCAGAACCCTGCCCAGCCATGTATGTGGCGTCTTGTCACCATAGCCAATGGTCGTCAGTGTAATCTGAAAATATAAACAGGTTACCACAGGACTGGGCGTAGGGGCCACTCATAAGGGCTCCGAGGTGCTGCAAGTGTAAGGAGGAAACTGATGACAAGAGAAGGGTTCCCCAACCCCACCCCAACAAACTCCCATAGTGGCCCCTCGGGACTGGTCTCAAGGATCTCTCAGTGACTGGAGGGGTACAGATGGGGTCTCATGCTGGTTAAGGAAAAGTGGTACAGGCCACAAGGGCTGAGTTAAGGGCCGGATGTGGGGCCACAAACAGGTCCAGCAGAGTAGGTAGGAGCTAGCATAGGGACTGGTCTCAGGAGCAACCTTAGTGTGAAGAGACAGGATGGGATAAGCCTGAGTTGGGGTGCTGCCCCTACTGTAAGGGGACAGAACCTGGGAAGTGTCCAGGGAAGCTCCTAGGGTGAAGGGCAGACCTGCACAGACCCTCACGCACCGTCCCCCACCAGAGTGAGTCAGCATAGGAGGAGAAATCAGAGTTGGCGTCCTTCTCAGCCAGGTAGACGAGGAAAGAGGCGAAGATGAGCACCAGGAATCCGATGTACCAGGCGGTGATCAGCTCCTGAGGGGAGGAGAGGGGTGCCTGTCAGAGGGTAAAGCTACACACACTTTTCTTCAAAGAAGGAACCCGTGCCCGGACTTCTCAGAACACACTAGAGCCAGACCCCTGGTCTGTCCTTAATATTTCCAGGCCTCACCCCGCCTGATCCCTTCCCAGCCTCATGCCTAGGACCTACGCAGTTCCCCATCCCTTTGGGAGCAGTCCTCTCCAAACCAAGAGGCTTGCAGAAGTGATCCTTAAGCCCTACCTCTCAGGCTCTGCCTAAGCCCCGCCCCTTCTGGCTCCTTCGGCCTCGATCCCCACCCTTCATCCCAGCGTGGGCCCTGCCCCCTCCTCAGGTCTTTCACTATTAGGCTCCACCCCTGCTCAGCTCCAGCCCCTTGCCTCATTACTTCAGATAGGCCACGCCCTGCCAAGTCATAATTGTTCTTGCCCCAGTGTAGGCCTGACCCCCATCAGTCCTTGACAAGACCACCCGGGCCTGGCTCCAGTCCACACTTGTTCCCCCCCCAGCCCTGCCTCTTCTTGCACCTCAGGTAGTCTCCAGGAACTTCGTTCCCCATCCCTTTCCCCAGCCTCACCTTACTGTGCGCATAGACCACTGAGCCTAGCAACTTCCAGGTGCCGCCACGGCGGTCCATACGCACCATGCGCAGGATCTGCAGGAAGCGCATACTGCGTAACGCGGACGTGGCAAAGATGTTTCCCTGTGTGCCCGCGGCGATCACTGCCACCGAGGCCACGAACACGATGAAGTCTACAGCACAGGGGTGTCAAAGTCCTCGGGTCAAGACCTGGGGTCTGGACTCCCAGGACCGTAATGGGGGAGGTGGTGGAGTGCAGATTGGGAGGGTCCACTAAATTCTTGAGAAGCCAGGATGGGGTCAAGGATGGGATCAAAACGCCTCCCTAAGGCTTGGGGTGTGGCAGAGTAGGGAAGGCTTATACCGATGACACAGAAAGGTTTCCTGGCGAAGCGGAAGCGGCCCTGCCATCCTCTGTAGCGGCAACAGCAGCCAGCAGACCAGACGCGGATTATATACTCCAAGCCAAAGACCACAATCATCACGAATTCCTATGAGGGACCAGAACCCAGATCAGAGCCCAACCCTGGGTTAGGAACACCAGCACCTGCTTAAGTTCCTCTTATACCCCGAAGGATTTGAGAAAATTCCAGAAGGGAGGTGACCTCTTTGTCCTCCAGGAAGAACAGAAGCCTAAATCTGCCCTCATACACAAGTGTCTAGCTTCATAAGATCCCTGGATTGTTTCCCTGCCCTCAGCCTTCCAGCCATTCAAGACTCTTGGCCCTGGTTGAGTGACATCAAGAGTGGCTCTCTATTGTCGGAAGGCCTTCTGTTGGTGTTTAACAGGGTGAGGTTTGTTCCTGTTCTGGTACAGAATGGAGCCTACACACCTAGTCTATCCTGGGCTAATCCTCAGGCCTCACATAGAACAGGGGATCTCCCTAAACCAGCTATAAAAACAGGAATGATGACCAGAGAGGGGAAGTAATCTGCTCTCTGACCACAGTCTAGGAAGCCTCTCTCCTCAGGCCAGAGGTGAGACTTCACATGCTGCTCTGCCTCGGAGGGAACTTTAAGGGGACTCCCAGCACTCACCAAGATGAGGAGACACTCGTTGGCAAGTTCCTGGTGCTCCTGGATAGTGGACAGCACGGACAGCACCAGGCAGCTGAAGACTAGCAAAAATCTGCAATTGGAGCATGCCGGGAAAGGTTAGATAGCTGGGGGAGAGGATAACTGAAGGTCCCCTGGCAGGGGCTGCAGAGTCAGGAGATTCACTATTTGGGTAGAATTCTTTGGAAAACAGAATCAAAGCTGTAGACTCATGGATTGGCAAGTCGCAGGCTGCTGGGAACAGACACCCCCCCAAGCCCTCTCTGGAGGACCCTGGAGTGACTGAGACTCAGGGAGGAGGCCTCCCAGTTTTGTCTGGGCTAGCAAGAGAACAGAGGCTCAGCGTTTCCCCAGGCTCAGCCACCCACTAGCCTTGGCTCCAGGCTCCATTTTACGGCCCAGGCAAAGTGTTCCAGAGGTCAACAGAGCTCAGAAGCTGTAACCTCAACTGAAAAATAAGGACAGCTGCTCTGCCTCCGTGTTTTTATGGAATTCACAATGAGTCAGCTAGTGAAGAGAGGGGCTGGGGAAGTGGCTCGGCAGTAAGAGTGACTACTGTGGGAGCTCAAGGCTCCCTGTTTGAATCCCGAATACACACGTAAAGAGGCTGGGCACGGCCTGACCACATGTGTCCATAGCCCTAGTGTTGGTATCAGAGACAGGCAGATTGCAGCAGCTCACGGGCCAGTCAGTTCAGTTGAAAACAGTGAGCTTCGGGATCACTGAAGGACCCCATCTCAAGGGACTAGGCAGAGAATAATATCATAGGGTACACAACGTCCTCCTGTCCTCCTTTGGCCTCCACAAGTACAGACATTCACACTCGTGACCACACACACACACACCATAAATAAAATGAAAGGGAGTCAGGCGTTGGTGGCACACGCCTTTAATCCCAGCACTGGAGAGGCAGAGGCAGGTGGATCTCTGTGAGTTCGAGGCCAGCCTGGTCTCCAGAGTGAGTGCCAGGATAGGCTCCAAAGCTACACAGAGAAATGAAAGGGGGCAGAGAAGGCATGGAAGCAGCAACATGGGTGAAGGAAAGGAAAAGGGGATCGGGTAGTGAGGAGCTGGGGACAAAGCCTGGAACTACCCTGGGGGCAGCGTGAAGCTACCAAGAGGCCCTGTTAAAAAGGAACCCTAGAACATAACTCATCCGACACTTCCCTTGTGTTCAGGTGCACATGAAGAAACAGTGGCATACAGCAGGAAAGGGTTCACCCAAGGTTGCTGAGTCTTTCCAGGGTTGATCTGAGATTGATGCCAGGAGTCTCCCCAGCAGAGAGGCAGTGGAGAAGAGTCCATAAACAGGTGTCTTGAGGCATGCATACACAGGAGGGTGGCAGGCATAGCGAGGGGAGTGTGGGCTCTTGGAACAAGGCATGCTAAACATGCCCCTGCCCCCAGAAAACAACGGAAGGAATGATGTGAGATAATACTCTTGTACACTGAAAAGATTTGTCACTCAGATAGGTTTAATAAAACACTGATTGGCCAGTAGCCAGGCAGGAAGTATAAGCAGGGCTACCAGACTAGGAGAATTCTGGGAAGAGGAAGACAGAGAGTGAGTCGCCAATCAGATGCAGAGGAAGCAATGTGAGAATGCCTTAATGAGAAAAGGTACCAAGCCACACGTGGATAACATAGATAAGAATTATGGGTGGCCGGGTGGTGGTGGCGCATACCTTTAATCCCAGCACTCGGGAGGCAGAGGCAGGCAGATCTCTGTGAGTTCGAGACCAGCCTGGTCTACAAGAGCTAGTTCCAGGACAGCCTCCAAAGAAACCCTGTCTCAAAAAAACCAAAAAAAAAAAAAAAAAGAATTATGGGTGAATTTAAGTTGTAAGAGCTAATTAGTATTAAGCCTGAGCAATAGGCCAAACAATTTACACTTAATATAAGCCTCTGCGTGTCTATTTGGGACTAAAGGGCTGAGGGACTAGGCAGGACAGAAACTTTTGTCTACAAAAGAATGAGCTTGGTCCCTGGGATGCATCGAAGTGTCCTGACCACCCAGCCTACGCACATGTCCTCAGAGCTCTATTGCTGCCTCACCATGAGAACCTCTGCACACCTTCGGCCCTACACACACACTAGCTATTCCTCAGAACCTCTGACTCCTACTCATAGCCTCCTCTACAGATGCCACATAGGACCTGCCTTCCTGTATGTGTCCTAGGAGTTCTTTCGTTTTGTTAAATTTTGAGACAGGGTCTTGAAACTCTTAACTTCCTCTCCTGTTTCAACCTTCCTAGTTCTAGGCTTACAAGTGTGCAACACCATACCCAGCCCAAATCTCTTTCCACTTATCTTTCTGTTCAAGTTTGTGTATATGTGTATGTGTGTGAGAGAGAGAGAAAGAGAGCGGGGGAGGGGGAGAGTACACCTAGGAAAACCACTGACCTCTTCTAGTTTGCCTTCTCCTCTGTAATACGTGCTGATGGGCAATTGAGAGTAGGGTCTGGCTGTGCCCTGGCACACTTACAACTCCTTGAAGGGCAGGATCTGACGCTGCATCACAGGAAATGCCCCTGGATCAAGGAGGTCAGAAGCAGCTGTTGGTAAGGGCTTCAGATGAATGAGTGAGACGGAGGCCTCTGCAGCCAGTTGGAGCACAGAGTTGAGTCAGCAAAGACACACAGCAAGTGGAGGGGGAAGTATGTCCTCCACTCCTCAGACTCAGTCACTAACCACAGGACCAGCAGCATCCAGGCTACCTGGAATGGGAGCTGCAGCTGACACAGAGTTGGTATGGGCAGGGCTGCGGTAGGAATACCATGAGCCTTCGCTCTTCCCCAATTCCTCCATTGCCTTTCTCAGCTTCCCCTAAGACCTCGGGCAGCCATGGGCATACACAGTTCTCTGTTGAGCATTTCCAGAATTCCTTTCCTCTCTTTTTTTTCTTGCTACTTCAATAGTTACACAGGCATCAACTATCTACAATAGACTAAGTGAAAAAGCAGATTACAAAACCTTCAGGGTCATGTGACCCTGATGTTTAAAAAGAAATACCTTTTTTTAACGTATGTACCTACAGAGGCAGGCTCATTTCTAGTCAAGCAAAAATGAAGTGCTTTTTTTGCCTATCTGTGCTTCCTAAGATATTTTTTTTGTTTTGTTTTGTTTTTTTTTTTTTACGATGAACATGGACTGCTTAGATAATAACAAAATGATGTACCTCCATTTGTTTATTTCTTTTGCAGTGCTGGAGAGCAAACCCAGGGCTTTGTAGTCAAGGGCTCAGTTACTCAGTTCCATTCTCAGACCCTATGGTCATGTGGTGGTTTGAATGAGACTGGCCCTCACACCTCATGTATTTGAATTCTTGGTTCTCAGTTGGTGGACTGTTGGGAAGGACTGGAAGGTGTGGCCTTTGTTGGAGTATGGGTGTCACTGGAGGTGGACTTTGAGTTTCAAAAGTCCAGGACACTCCCAGTCCCAGCCACTGACTCCCCTCTTTCCCTGCTGCCTGTGGATCAGGATTTAGCTCTCAGCCAGTTCTCCAACACCAAGCCTGTCTGTCTGCATGATGCCATGCCCCTCCCCAAGATGAAAATGAACTAACCCTCTGAAACTGTAAGCAACCACCAATTACATTTTTTCTTTTATAGGAGTTGCCTTGATCATGGTGTCTCTTCACAGCAATAGAACAGTGACTAAGACAAGTCTCTAACATTTTTTTGTTTTGTTTTATTTTGTTTTTCAGAGACAGGGTTTCTCTGTATTCCTTTGGAGGCTGTCCTGGAACTCGCTCTGGAGACCAGGCTGGCCTCGAACTCACAGAGATCCGCTTGCCTATGCCTCCCGAGTGCTGGGATTAAAGGCATGAGCCACCACCGCCCGGCAGTCTCTTAACATTTTTAAAGATTTATCTTAACTGTAATCATGAATATGGATGTGAGGGAGTATGTGCACATGAGTGCAGTGCCTGTGAAGACCATAAAAGGATGCTAGGTCCCTGGTTGTGAGTTGCCTGATGTGGGTGCTGGAAATTGAATTTGGGTCCTCTACTAGAGTAGTGTGCCTTGCCCACAAGTATGTCTGCACCATGTGTACACAGTAGCTGAGGATCCAGAAGAAGATGCAGGGTCCTGGAACTGGAGTAACAGGCAGTCTTTAGTCACCATGTGGGCGTTGGGAATGGAATGTGGGTGTTCTCAGGGAGCAGTTAGAGCTCTTAACCACTGAGCTGTCTCTCCAGCCCCAGACACCTTTCTCTTTTGAGACAGGGGCCTTTGCTATATTAACAGGGCCAGTCTCAAACTCCAAAACTAAAGAAATCCTTCCATCTCACCTCTCAAGTAGATGGGGCTAGAGGCATGCAACGCTGTGCCCAATTTGTTTTTTTTTTAAATAATTTTATACTTACATATATATGTATTTAGTGTGTGTGTGTGTGTGTGTGTGTGTGCCCCACAGTAGGTGTGTGGTCAGAAGACAGCTTGCAGGAGTTAGTTCTCTTTTTTTCATTATTTGGGGATCAAACTCAAGTTGTCAGGCTTGGCGGCAACTACTCTTAGCCAGTGAGCCATCTCACTGGCTCCCATTGTCACCAGCTATCAATATTATTTATTTATTTACAGGGTTTCCCTATACTCCCTAGACTCAAACTTGCGATCCTCCTGCCTTTGGACTAGCAAGGATTACAGGTATGAGCTACTGTGTCCAGCATATTTTTAAATGCATGTTTCTAAAAAATACAAACCAGAAAAGAATATCCCTTTCAATCCTATCCCCAGCCTGTACTATACTCACCTCTGTGCCTAGCAGGTGTGAGACTGTGGCAGGCTTTCCTGAGAGCCCAGCTCATATGTCCACCTACCAATTCAAAGTTCCTTCTTGGGTATCTAATGGCACCTGGAAGCAAACATGTCCTAAACTAGAATCTCAACATCCCATAAGATCTCCTTTCCTCCTCCTAGCAGCTCAGCGATGGTACCTGGGACCTAAGGCCAGCTATCTGAGTCAGCTGTGATTCTTTTGTCTTGTATTCCCCACCTCCTGCTCAGTTGACTCAATCACCGAGCTCCCGGCATCCCCTCTCATCTTCACACATCACATTTCTTCAGCCATGATCTCTGCACAATTCAAAGCTGGATAGCATCACTCCTAGAACTCTCGGGTCACACTGGGAGAGCAAAGTTTCAAACTCTCCAGCATTACCAGCAAGGCTCTCTAGGCCTACCCCACCCCAACCCTTCCCACCCACCTCTGCACCTAATCCTCTCTGCTCTGTTACCTCGCACTGCAACATCCCAGCTCCCTGAGCCTGCCAGTAGCTCACCTAAACATTTCCACCTCTGGGCTTTGCTGGTTTGTCCCACTGGTTGCTCCCTCAGTCACCCAGGGGCTTGATCACATGCCACCTCCTTGATGAAGGCCTTTTTCCCAGCATTCTCTCTAAAACAGTGGCCGCATAAGCTGTCCCTCTTCCCTTTCCCTGACTGACTTCACAGCACTGAGAAGACAAACAGCAGGAATTCACACTACGCCAACATCAACACCCAGTCACTAAACCAATGTGGCCATTTTGAACCAGCTGAAGAATCTGCTAAAATTCAGCACACGCATGCTGCTATGAGGCTGCCCAGACCAAGGGACTCAGTGACCGACATGTCAACAAATCCAATAGACATTTTTCAGGGCTTGGACACTGCCGTCCACTGCTTCCCTCTTGCTGTCATCTTGCTCTCCTCTGGTTTCCTTCCCATCTGCCTGGGTCTACTCTTCTGGTCTGGACAGGGGGCCCCTCCCTTCACACTGCTAGGGTGTCACTGGGTCCTCCTGTAAATTCACCACATGCTCACTGGTTTGTCACAGCTGTCCCTATGTCCACCTCAGTATCTCCACATCTGTTTGTTTGTTTTGTGTGTGTATGTGTGTGTGTGTAGATTATTGCGATCCGGAGTCTGTAAGGCTAAGATTTCTTTATTCAGATAAACACCAGCCCAAACATAAGCCAGAGCGTGCCAGGGGCAGCAAGGCAGCCAGGCCAGAGAGAAGGGATATTCACGTGTGCCCGGTCCTTTAAGAACCCCCCATGCATCACCCTGAACACCCCTTAACCACGCCCTGACAGGCGTGGCTAAGTACACCTGTAGCCGGCCCTTAGGAGGCGTGATTACAGTGTCTCCCTACATTAAGGGAATCTTTTTTTTTTTAAGATTTATTTATTTATTTATTTATTTATTTATTTATTTATTTATTTTTATGTATGTATACAGTGCGTGCCAGAAGAGGGCACCAGATCACATTACAGATGGTTGTGAGCCACCATGTGGTTGCTGGGAATTGAACTCAGAACCTCTAGAAGAACAGTCAGTGCCCTTAACCCCTGAGCCATCTCTCCAGCCCCCACATCTGTTCTTCTACCCAGTTTTGTCTTCTAACCTAACGTGCCTTGTCCCCAAAACCCGCATCTCCTTTGTTTGTTACTCAGCAGTGTGGATTTGTTGACACACTGGGTCCCTTGGTCTGGGCAGCCTCATAGGCAGAGTAGGACCTGAACAGGCCCAGATGGAGTGAGCACGCACAGGGTGGGAGTGAGACAGGACCACTAAGGAGAAAGGCCAAGGCAAGCTGGACAAAGATGGACACCGCAATCTTTCTCAGAAGAGAAGAGTGGGAGGAGCCAGGAGAACAGGAAGCTGAAACCTGGGAGTAAGTGCAGCATAGATTCCCAGGCTAGCAGGGTGAGGGGTAGAGGGGTAAGAGACAGTTCAGTGGGAGACCTGGCTGGGTCAGGTGAGGGAGGGAACTGAGTGTGGGTGCCCAGGAACTAGGAGAGGAGGTAGGCTCTGTAAGAGCTGAAGGGGCGGAGCCTGAGAGGGCTGATGGGAATCAAAACCTGCATCACCCAGGTCTGTTTTTTCTGTTTTGTTTTTGTTTTAATCGGCTTTGATTATCCGGTGAGGAAGCAGCCTATGTTAATGAAATTAGGGGCTACTTCCCTCACAAATCCAGACGTCCACCCTTTGACTTCTTTCCTCCTGGACCTCCCTCCAAGGTCCCGCCCCCAGCCTGAGCCTTGACAGTCAGTGCCTGGGACCTGCCTCGCAGCCAGCTGGCTCCCTGATATTTGCCTCTGGCCTGGGAAGTATGTGACTCCTTTGCTCTCCAGACTAGGGCCCCCTGAGCAGCGCTGCTCTGTTCCCCTCAGTGCAGGGTGGGGGGTGGGGAGGCAGGGGACCTGGTACCAGTCTGTCACCACGCAGCCAAGATTCCTGGAAGGCAGAGGCCCTGACCCTCGTTCCACCTGCCTACAGAAAGGCATTTCTTGAGCCCCAAACCAGAACTGATGCTGAAGAAGAGACTTCAGTTAGACTTGACAACCGCATCCTGACAAGGGGGCTGCAGAAAAGCCTGGAGGGTCCCACAGTCTACTGGAGGGTCCCACAGCACACTTGCTTTATCTTGTGGATTGGGGTGATGATGGGAGGGGCGTTAAGCCGCCTCAGAGCAGGCTTTCCAAGAATCCTCAAGGGCTGGGAGGAGAGTTTCCCCTGATCCAGCGATTCTAAATACGGCAGAGGGAGTAAGAACACGTGACCCAGGGCCCCACACAAGGCTGCGGCTGGCATGACTGCATCTCTGGGCCAGAGGTCCATAATGGGGCTCAGGGATGGAATGAGGTCTTAAAGGAGTCTTAGTTTCCCTGTCTGTAACACTAAGGAGAGAGGCACTCCAATAGTGGCTAAGGTTCCTTCAGCTTTATGACTGTCTAGCAGGGCAGTGAAAAGTAGAGACAGCCCTCAGCTCAGTTCTACTTTCTCCAAGGATGTCCCTGGAGAGACAGCAGCTGCCAGCAC